AAATGCACCCTCCACTGCCCCAGAATGAATCTCACCACACACACCACAACACACACATTCTACAGAACACGTACGGTGCCATCCACAACCAGGCAGAGCCACACAACACACTAGGCGAAGAGCCCACTGCCCATTAGACAGACACTCCACAACCCAAACAAATACAATGCGAGGGAACCACACCCCTAGCCCATCAAAACCAGGCTTTTGCACTGTGCAAAAACACACAAACACAGGCAAGCCGCATACACGTTGTGCAAACGTCCCCCCACAGAAATCACACGGTGTGGGTCAAGGTCTCTGCCATTCTGTAGAAACGCCTAGAAACAAAACCCCGTTAGATGGCCCCAATACAGGCAAAGAGCAGACTCCAAAGGCAGGTTCAGATGCACAGAAATGGCAAATGCAGTCATTTGAAAATCATAAATCAGGCTCCCAACATCATGATTTGAAATGTACGTGTGGAGATTTGTATTTGCCTTCTAGTGTGCGGCATTAGGGTGTGCTCAGGTCACAGGTCACATTTTTCAAGATGTTATTTACAATCCAAAGGACTAGAAACTTACCTGTTCAAAAAGGAGATAGTCACTTGATTCTGGGAGCTACACACACTGTCCACAGCAGAAAACCCTCTTCAATGCAACACGAGACACACACTAGCAATCTAGTATCTTGGTGGGGAGCTTAGCATTTACCTCACATTCTGCTACAGCAAAGGCCTCTCCCTAAAGAACTAATGCCAACAAGAACAGACATTAGGTTTTGCAAACGGAAGCTTCAACTAACATGGAACAACTCAGGGGTTTGACAGCGGGCTGTGAACTCTTCCACCTACAGGTGTTGCCAATCCAAAAGTGGACCAGGTTCCAGGAGACTGAAAATTGCTATTGTCTGATGGCTGTTCGGTGGGGATCTCAGTGCAGCACCAAGCGTGCACATCACAATTAGCACCCAGAGCCTGCTGGCAGTCTCAGCTGTGACGGTGGTAGACGTTTCATGCCACTGGTAGGGTAGGCTTTGGCTCTGTTCAGAATTGCACTAGTTCAACTCTAAATCTGTTTAAAATCCAATTGTATGAAACTGGTGCAAAACCCTGTGTGGGCACTGAGCTGAGTTAAATTGCTATACACCAACGTTTAAATCAAATTTAAAGTCTCCACACAAGGTTTTGTTTCAGTTTAATTCAATCAGTTTAAAAATCACCCCTTTAGTTAAGGTGGTGAAACCAACTACAGACAAGGTTGTCTGCTCTCCCCTGGAATGTAGGCATCGCTGTACCAAGTTGCCCCTGGGTCCAGCTTCCGGTGCCCAACATTGGCTAGCACTAGATCAGGGGTTCTCAAACTGGGGGTCGGGACCCCTCAGGGGGTTGCAAGGTTATTATCTGGGGGGTCGCGAGCTGTCAGCCTGCACCCCAAAGCCCGCTTTGCCGCCAGCATTTATAATGGTGTTAAATATATAAAGAAGTGTTTTTAATTTATTAGGGGGGTCGCACTCAGAGGCTTGCTATATGAAAGGGGTCACCAGTCCATAGATGCTTCCAAGGAAGGTGCAAGAAACCCCCTAGCGGACAGCTACAGAATAACCTGCCCAGGGGGAAGTTTATTTCCAAACTTCGGGTTAGTTTATCCCACAAAGTGTGAGGCGTTGAAGTCCTGAAGTGTATCGTGTCTAACGGAACGGTGGTTGAGATTAGCTATCCATGTACACACCCACTCATTCTTTAAAATCCCCTTGCATTATTCACCTCCTCTAGCTTGTGGAAATGGATTCCACAGGTTAATTTTGTGGTGTGTCAAAAGTATTTATTTCTATCCATTTGAGATTGGTTGCCTTTCAATCTGAAATCCCCTCACTCTTGTATTATGAGAGAACATACACAGACCAGTACATACAAAATACATAATGTCCACTCTCAACCATTACCAGAGCCATCCAGACCCTCAAATGTGTCTGTAATACAGATTCACACAACATGCTGGTGTTGAAAATACATTTTCTGGTCATATTAGAACTAAATTGAAGGCTGCCATCAGCTCGATAGCATCCTGAGGCCAAGGGCAGAGAGGTGAGGGGGCTGTTGGGAGTATATTGAGGTGGAGCGCAGGGGGGTGTTGGACTAGGATAGTGGAGCAGGGAGCAGCAGGCCTGGGGGGATGGTATCAGATAGCTTCCTCCTTGCAGACCCTGACAGAGCCAAACCTAAAACACTCCTAGATCCTGATTACCCCTTCACTGAAGTCAATGGCAGTTACACAATGAGTTGATCAAACCCCCGTATTTCCCTCGGATGTAATCTCAGATGCTAAGCGGAGGCAGTAGCTGGACAGGAAACTTCCAAGGAAAACACCAACATCTAAAGGAAGCAAGAGTGGTGAGGCAGTGGCATCATGTTGGAGCCACCGCAAACAGTGGTTGTACCAATGCACGGTGGGACCCTTGAAGTAACTATGCCATATACCCAGCACTGGTCCTGATAACAGGGGCTTTTAAGCAGGCACTGACTTACGAGGACCATTTTAGGTGCAGCACGCAGAACAGGCTCTAGGCACCAGCAAACCAAGCACGTGTTTGGGGTGGCACAATTCCAGGGGCGCATTCCAGGAGGCACTTCGGCAGTTGCGCTCTCGAAGGTTTATTTATTTGTTGCTTGGGGCGGCAAAAAACCTAGAGCCAGCCCTGACAGCACGTGCAGCTTCCCTGCTACTAGGGAACAGTTGTTATAGATTGTGCTGATCCAGCTATGCATGAGCTAAAGATTTAATCCCACGTGCCGCAAGGCAGACTGCTACAAACAAAACGTGTCAGAGGTAGGACAGCTGCTGCCAATCTTTTTCGTTTCAGGCCTTGGGGTAGGAATGCTGGCATACATGCCTTAGGTAACATCCCTTAGGGCTCACGCTATTCCACTTCTCTACATTCCCCCGGAAGTTGCAGGAAGCCTGCTTCCTTCACCTCCTGTCCTAAACCCCATGCATAGGACGGTTTGTTAAACAGCTGCTGCCCTCTAAGTGGCTGCATTTCAGTAAAGCCAGGTCTTTGCCTGCACAGTCTAGTGAGGGAAGCGCTTGGAATGAAAGGCCATCGGTAACTAAAATCACGTCGTCTCTTTAACAACCCTTTGAGAGGACAGATGCCATTTGAGCCATAACCAGCTTCAGGCAGAGCGACTCCCAGCGGGCTGAGTTCAGTCCGACGCAGAATTGTGAAGCTGAAATACAGTTTGAGATAGCAAGCTGTGAAAACAAACACCTACCCCGTTAAGGAACCCTTGTGGGGCAGGCGTAGGCTCCAGTTTATTTCCCAGCCGCCTACCATCCTGAATGTCAGAGGAAAATAAATAATCAGGTGACACTTTCTTGGCTCTCAGCCGCGTGGTGCCCCTGGGACAGATGAAAGTGGTTCTTGGCTCAGAGGAAAAAGCTGTGTAGTATCCGGCAATAACTTTCAGCTCTGTCTTGAGAGAGATTTCAAACAAGCCCCTCGGGCTGAGATGAGTTCTGTTTACAATAGCACTGATCCGATTCTGCATGTCAGCAGCAAGAAAATCATTCCCTTTATTTTCTATCAGGTAAGTACAATCAGTTTGAAACTAACATTTACTTTTAACACAGGGGTTCTCAAACTGGGAGTCAGGAGCCCTCAGGGGATCACAAGATTACATAGGGAGGGGGGGTCACAAGCTGTCAATCTCCACCCCAAACCCCGCTTTGCCTCCAGCATTTATAATGGTGTTAAATATATAAAAATGTGTTTTTAATTTATAAGGAGGGGTTGCACCCAGAGGCTTGCTATGGGAAAGGGGTCACCAGTACAAAAGTTTGAGAACCACTGTTTCAACACAAGTTTATTTAATAAACACATTAAACAGTGGGAAAGAATCAAGTTTATTGGAAAGAAAGCAGACACTGAGCTTACCGAGCCATGAAAAGGGAAAGTGATCACTCAGGCAGTAGAGAGTACAAGTTCTTTTAATAAGCCAATTTTAATACAAGTTGTACAAAGATATAAGACCCATCTCTGGGCATTCTGAAACTGCAAGGAATGGTGGGCTCATTACACGGTTACCTACAGTGGTCTTAGTGCCAACCGCAGCCCCCATTCATTGAGCCATTGTATTCTTTATAGTCTATGTGGCCAGACTTAGGAGATGCTTTTGTCACATACAGGCAGGCAGCAGGCTTAGATTTGGACAAGACCCTGTACAAAGTTGTTACAAGCACACGTTGAAGCCCTCTAGGACGGGTTAGAAATAATGAAGTGTTTATACATATAGTTCTACAAAACAAGGGGATATGATTTGAATTTCACTGCCAGGCACAGGATGTTGACCGTAAACTACTGCATCCTAACTGTGCTTAGTAAAGCATCTTATTTAACTCTGCATGGGGGCCCTGGGAAGATGGGCGCTTTCTGTGCAAGACCAACTACTTTAAACACCTTGTCTAGTACCGTGGCTGTTTTAATATCAGCTAAGATCACTCAGTCACAGAGGCTCGGGACAGGGATCCACAGGCAATCCCAAGCAGCAGAATAAACCCAGAGCCATGGGACTAGCAGTCAAATGCATGGTGTCACTACACTTGTACACTTTCTGAAGATATGCCCCAAGAGCTTTTCCAAGACTTCGGAGGAGCTACCTTGAACCGAGATGCTGAAGGCCTAGAACAGTTGGAGCCTGGCCTACCACTCACCATTGAGGAGCCAGAACATTGTCCCAAAGGGGCAGATTTAGCACTTTAAAAATGGCCAAAGCCAGTGCTGGAGACTTTTATACATTAAACGAATTATTCTGGACCACTGACAAAGGGATTGTAGAACAAAATCACCAAGACAACAATGGTCTTCTATATTTATTGTTTTAAAGGCCAATACATATTTAGACGACGTTAAATACAATGTCCAACAGAACTACTGCAGCACTGGTACCGTAATGTGCGCTTACAGTCACCGACCGCTGAGATCATCCCAGTCTGCACGGTAGAAGAGAATTTCCTGTTAAAAAAGCCACACAGATTTGGTGTTTCAGAGCTCAAAAGTTACCTTGTATAATAAAACGTGCAAGAAAAGGGACCTGACAAGGACACATGACCAGCATGGAACAGCACTGCCAAAGGAATCTGGAGAGTCCGTGGCAAGGCTTAGCTCTGGGGAGATTGCCATTCTCCAATCACGGCACAGTTCAAGCAGCAGGAGCAGCTGTGCATGCTTCCTCCACGCTGCCCTGCCGTGCTCCTCAGCCCTGCCGTGGGGAGAGAGGGGGGCTTAGGCAGCATTCAGTCCTTGGCACTCTGGTGGGACTGCAGTTTGTGCTGGTATTTTCCCCTGATGTATACAGCTGGGAACTGGGCTGAGGCAACAAGCTCATTTCACCATGACAGCAGACTTGCCGTCTGCCACCAAAATCTGGGCTAGATCCCATCTCAATGCCTTGCCTATGTCATAGTGCTGACTACAGTTATACAGTATAGGAAGAAGGTATTTCTCATCTCCGCTGACTCCAGGGTGATTTTACACTGCCTGGCCATTACGGCTACTTACATAAACGTAAGTTTCTACTTACTCCACTTCAAAGAAATGTCTTTATTCATATACATCTTTCTTATCTGCAATGTAATCTACAATCTCTTGTGGACACATTAGCTTTTCTGCTTCCACGTCAGGAATTTCAAACCCTGGAAGAGAGAGTACATGCTTAGCTTGGAATAGTGGAAACAGCAGCGAAGAGAGAGAAATCCGAATACAAACTCAGACGCCTGTGCCTTGGCTCTGTGGGCAACCCACGGGCAGGGGTCGCTGTTCAGCAGTGCAGGCAGATTTGGCACCTCTTATTACTAAAGCTGTGTTTCCAAGCCTGCTGTGCCGTCCCCAGCAGCAGAACATTAGGCCGAACTAGCAGTTCCTGCAGATTGCGAAGCCTCACTAACAGAGTCAGTACCCTTCCAAGAAGCAACAGAGAGTCCTGTGGCACCTTTAAGGCTAACGGATGTATTGGAGCATAAGCTTTCGTGGGTGAATACCCACTTCAGACGCAAGACCTCCGTCTGATGAAGTGGGCATTCACCCACGAAAGCTTATGCTCCAATACATCCGTTAGTCTTAAAGGTGCCACAGGACTCTCTGTTGCTTTTTACAGATCCAGACTAACACGGCTACCCCTCTGATACTTGATACCCTTCCAAGCTTCTATTGGACTCCCAGAGCTCTGAAACCAACTCTGATGTGCAACAGCTGTGAGCTGGCAAGGCAGTGGGCTAGTTACATGCAAGGGAGAACCCAAAGCATCACAGTTTGTTTCACAGTCTTCTATCAAGTGTCATTATAGCAAGTAGCCATAAAGTTCACCAGGTTAGGGCCCGCTGGGGCTTGAAGCAGTAGAACTGGGCGCTACAACATTTTCTAGAAAATTCTGGCATTTCTATTTCTAAGTCCTGCTAGCTGCAAGTTAATCCCACCCCCAAATGTAAACAAGTGCAGTGATTAAATATATCTGGGCAATGCGCAAGGCAGAATGCCTCCAATTAAAGTGTAGATGTTCTACTACCCTTTATTTTTTACACTATTGGGATTTATATGCAGTGAATATAAATGCCATATTTGGCCTCATATGGCACAATTTTTTGTTAAATTATGTCTATATTTCAGCATTTTGCTTTTTATCTGAAGCAATGAAAAGAACTCCGAGATATGAAGTACAAAGGAGTCTGGAATACAATAAAATGAAGGAAACAAAAGGTGGTTTTAGCAGGGCCAGATGAAGAGATTAAAGAATTGTTAGAAGCTAAGGTTGGAGAAGTCTAATACAATTCTCACCTCCAGAGCACACAAGAGAATGTGGATGTATTGGACAGCAGTCTTGTGTCTAGTGTGCTCATTTGCATTTCATTACCCTGAATGCTCTGTTGGCTCCTAGCCATGCCACACTACAGCTAATTCCCTAGGAAGGTTTTGAGGCAGGGACTTGAAGATGCACCAAACTGAAGCTATGGAAACCTTAATTTCCACTTCAGACAGGAGGTGCAGAAGCCACAAGAATAAAATAAATCCCTGAGAGTTAGAGATACTTACATTGCTCAGAGAGCAAAACAGCTTTCTTTAGGTTGTGGAAGTTAAGTCAACGTTCAATATTCATATTGAGCTTATGGAAATAAAAGAACTAAGATTTTGTTTGCAGTAAGCACATTTCGGGGGTCAATCAAGACAACAGCAGATCTCTCTCTCTTAAGTACCTACATGGCCCCATTACCAAAGCAGCTGAGCATCTCACAGTCCTTAGTATATTTATCCTCACACCACCACCAGGAGATACGGAAATATTAGCCACACTGTACAGATTAGAACTGAGGCAGAGCTAAGCGACTTGCCAAGGTTACACAGAAGCTGGTGGTACAGCAGGTCTTGAAGCTAGTTCTCCCACGTCCTAGGCTAGCCCTCTAACCACTGGACAATCCTTCCTCTCCATAGGGAAGGATAGGGAGAACAGACATCACATAAACTTCAATTACCAAATTCATCTTCCATGGCCATGATGATCTCCACTTGGTCTAAACTGTCCAAGCCCAGGTCTTTCATGAAGTGGGAATTTACTGTGAGCTGGGAGAAAAGCCAAAGAAAAATACAATAAAATTGATTGCAGTCATTTCGCTAGGGTAGGAAAAGTTAGAATATCAGGATGTGCCCCCACTTGGAGTTTACAGCCTACCCGGTGGTTTTGGCCTTTACCGTCCCTCTGCCAAACATGTTTTTAACTGAAAAGATATGAGTTTCTCCACTATCTAGTCAATACATATCATTATCCACATAACTAAGCCTTCTCGAGACTTAAAAATAACAAATGTCTGTAGTAAAAAAAGTTAACATATGAAGGGGCAATTTGACTACTGAGCAGTCTCTTAACATCTTTCCTGAGATGAAAAACTGCTCCATTAACAGTAACTGTTCAGAGAAACAGAATTTCCTGTTTCCTGACTGCCCCTGGATGCTGACTTGGTTTATTAATCCAAAGGCCTTAACTTCCTGGACCTTGTCACCACTCATCTGTTATAGCATATCAGTTTGTGTGTGTACATGCTATAGAATTACCCCCCATGCTGTAGAATTACAGACTGTATCCTTCTGCAAGGCACACACTGACAGGTTTGGGTCTCCCTTCTTTTATGGTGGCCTGGAGGAGCAACTCCACTTGTTACCATAACTGTTTTCTTTCATCTACTGAAAAATGGGCAATCTGAATTGAAACAGTGTCTATAGCTTACCTTTTCTGGATCTACCTTATCATACAACTTCAAGACATACAGCACACGGTCCTCGATACCCTCCAAAGTAAGAGGTGGCATATCTGAATAATGGCGACACAACTGTAACGTACCAGAGACCTACAAGAAAAGCACAGGAATTCCTTACAAAACCACCAGGACAATCTGCACATAAATACATGTATGAACCGATCCTTCACAGAGTCACTCCGAATGAAGGGGCCTGCACAGCACCTACGCCAGTCTGACTCTGAGACAGGATTCTCTCTTTTACACCTTCCCTTTTGTATAGTGGACAAAACCCTCTCCAGGCAATCCCTGAAGGTGGCAGACAATGCATTCTCTGTGATAAGAGAACTCCATAATCAGCCAAGACCCGCATAGGCAGCAGGCTCAATCCCACATAAGAGAAAGGGAAATAGCAGCATGCGCTAGCAAGCTCCTCTTCGACAGAGCCGCTGCTCCGGTCAGCCACAAAAGATGACAACCATGACATGGTGGTCCGCACATGGGAGGCAGGGATGGAGAAGCCATAGCGCCAGCGCTGGAGAGTGGAGCAGGCTCGGCTCTCCCTCAGCGCAGCGGCCCAGGCCTGAGATCCAGCTAGAGAAATATCCTGTCTCCCAGGGTGGGCAGCCTCAGAGGATGGGGCTAGAAACCCGGCAGCTGGGAACGGGGGATAATCCACCTTCACGCCAGCCATGGCGGGTACTGGCGGGTACTGGCGAGCCTGGCTTAGCCCCGAAGGGTTCGGCTTCAGGTCCCTGCTCTGACGGGCCAGCTCGACCCGTGGGAACTCCGGAGAGCCCCGCTCGAGCCCCGCGCGGACACACCATGTTTATTCACGGGATCGGCAATCAAGGCCCGCAGACGTGCGGGGCTCTCCCGGCTGTACCGGCCTCTGGCTGGCAACCGCCTCGCCCGGGCCCGGGACACACCGACCTGACCGGGCCGCGGAGCCCGGGGCCGGGCCCAGACACACCCCGCGGCGGGGAGCCGCGGCCCCAGGGTCACCTCTGGCCGGGACAGGGCGGGGAGCTCCCCGCTTCCCCAGCCCCGCCCGCCGCCGGGCGGGTCCCTGGGGGAGGAGCGCGGCGGCGGGGCCCGGCCTCGGGGGGGCTCCCCCGGGCTCCCCCCGCCAGCCCCGAGCGCGGGCCGAGCCTCACCTGGGGGCCCGGCGCTGCGCGGGCGGGCGGCCGGCGGCTGCAGAGGGCGCTGAGCCCGGCGGGGCTGGGGCCGGCGCTACGGGCCGCGAGCGGGGTCAGCCGGGGCAGGAGGCGGCGGACACAGGCGGACAGGACACGGGCCGCCATGGCGTCCTGCTACCCAGCGTGCGCCGCGCGGGGCCGCACATATCCCGGCAAGCCCCGCGCGCGGAGGGAAGGGGAGGGCGTCGCAGCGAGCGGCCGGCAGCGCCCCCTGGCGGGCGGACGGGGAAACTGCGCCGCGCACACCCTGCAGGGACCCTCCT